CACACACACACACACACACCTCACGTGTCCTGCACTGACTGCTTAGTCACACCTTGTTCTACAAGCCAAATGCATATCATTGTCCTCTAACTGTGAACACACATCTGATTCAGTCATTTCCTCCTCCAAAAACCATTCAAAAACCCTGAAGACCCTTCAACAAAGAAATAACATAAATAACTTCTTCCTCTCTCTCTCTGTGAGGCAGGGAGCCACTAAAACCTGCTAAGTCTGCTATATCATCAAAATCCTGTGCCATATATCAGTCATGGACCAGGACAATAACCCTAACAGTCTAGTTGAAAACTAAATAAACTCAGCAGATTATTCAATATTGTTTTTTTTCAGTGGTACTTTAATTCAAATGCAGGTATAGTCACCAGAAAGATAGGCAAGCATATATCTTATAGCTGAAACACGATATTTGCTCATGCAGTGCACTTTTTGTGATGTGTTTGTGCTGAAACTTGATTCATTTTGCCCTATAAAGTCACTCAGTGAATCTGCAGCTGAGTGTTCAATCACAATTAGAGATGTTCCTATATCAGTATTTTCAGTAATATTAGTCATTCTTCTGATACGGACTAAAATGCAGAATCAGGTACCAGAGAGTACTCGTGTCGCGCACTGATCCAATATCACTTAATTAATTAGCCCTGAAACAGCAGGGTCCAATTCATCATTTTCTTCCCCAGTATAGTGAAGTCAGAGAGCTGAAACCATTTTGTTCAAGCACTAAAATACCCAAATCTTAACATCCCCCCCGTCCGTATTGTGCTGTGTCACACTGACTGCTTGAGGTCCTCCTCTCTCATCAGATCTGCTGCTGTGCTGTGAGTTTTTAATTGGTTACGGATCAATATCTCTCACTCTTCTCTGACAGTTTTTGTCCTTTTTCTCTTTAACTTTTTTCTTTTTCGTAATCTTTCCCCTTTAATCCTGCTATGATGTTTTATCTGCTAATGAATTCACTCACTTGAGTCTTCCCTTGTTCGCTCTCCTGTTTGTCTTTCAAATGTCTCAACTGGTGAACAGCTGTATTGCGAAATGCAGAACTTAAATTTAAGAACAAAACTGACTTCTATATATGACTATATGACAAAAGGGAGCCCCAGCATACTGTTAATTATAATGTTTTGTTGCTCTGTGATCTGGAAAAACCTCCATGAAGTCAAATCTTTACTCAGTGGCCATTTTGGAATTCAGCTTTTCACTGTGTTCACTATAACTCACCTCTGCCCTCCTCTGTTGTATTACAGAAGTCACAGTCACATTTCTGTCCACTGCAAACACAGAAGCTAACATTATTAACCTTTCAACCCACTCTCTTTCTCTCTCTCTTCCTCTTTAACTTTCTTTTCTCCAACTTCCACTCCTGCCGTCCTCTCACCTGGTCACTCACCCTCTTGTCTTCTCGTCTTCCTCAGGCCGCTCTGTTGAACTCGTTCCCAGCGATCTTTGACGAGCTGCTGCAGATGTTTACGGTGCAGGAAGTGGCTGAGTTTGTGCGCGGCACTCTGGGCAGCATGCCGTCCACGGTGCACATAGGACAGTCCATGGACGTGGTCAAACTGCAGTCCATAGCCCGGACAGTGGACAGCAGGCTATTCTCTTTCCCAGGTACACAAACACATCTTATTGTGTCCTCTGATTTATACTCCTCAGTGATATGTAAGAGTGCTACATATGTTTTATACATACATGTGTTTAGTAAAGACTTCAGTCTTTCCAATTGGTGTTTAAAAATCTTAAAATGTATAACTTTAAATGCAGTCAACAGTTCTACAGACATAAACATAAATAATAGTACAAAAAGTTTTCTTTTGTGAATGTTTTTCTTTTCTGTGATTTTTCTATGTTAACCAATTACAGCCTTTTCAGCCACAGAGCTCATGTTCTGGACTAACTATGCAAATCAATGTCGGTGTGTGTCCTCAGAGTCTCGAAGGATCCTGCTTCCTGTGGTCCTTCATCACATCCATCTCCATCTGAGGCAGCAGAAAGAGCTGCTCATCTGCTCTGGAATACTCAGCTCTATATTCTCTATTATCAAGAGCAGCTCACTGGTAACACACACACACAGATATACAGTATGTAGAAATAAAACAATGTCCTGTTGGGATCTCTCAGTTGGCTTTTGAGCTGCATTGAATTCACATACAATCTAAAGTGCCCTCTAGAGGATGCTATGTCTGTTGCACTCCATATGTTTCTTATTAGTCCTGACTTTAGTATTCTTACTGTACTTGGTTAGATGGGTTCTTCCTCTTTAGAGCTTAAATTACGTGGGAATTATCCTGTTTTGTGCAAGCGAAAAATCTCGATGTTAAGGTCTAAGGTCAAAATCAGAAACCTAAATCCTCAATTCCATTAAATAGCAACTGTGTGACATTTAAAAGTATAAAATGTATTTCTCCTCAATATATTTGATCTTTGTTAATACTGTGACACACTCAACAAATTTCACTTTTCTTCACTTCCTACTTCCATTTTTCCTCTCTTCTTTCCGCCATCCAACTTCTCACTACTCCTTTGCGTACCCTTCCTTTCGCTCCCCTTCTTCTCTCAACTCTCCCTCCAGGACACCTCCGTACAGGAGGAGGTGGAGATGATGGTAGAGTCTCTGTTGGACGTCCTCCTGCAGACGCTGCTGTCAATCATGAGCAAGAGCCAATCGCAGGAGGCGGTAAGGGGTCAACGCTGTCCGCAGTGCACCGCGGAGATCACTGTTAGTAACTAACAATACGACTACTTCAACTTCACCTCCCACTACCCTCATCCATCCTGTATCTATGTGCCTCTCCATCTGTCCTAGGGCTGGGCAATATTTAATATCAATATCAATTTAATATCATATTAATGTACCTTTATATTTTCGTGATGTTACAAAATCCATCTCACATTTAAAGGTCCAGTGTGTAACATTTAGGAGAATCTGTTGGCAGAACTAATCAAAGATATCTTTTCATGAGTGTATAATCACCTTAGAATGAGCTGTTTTTATTTACAGAGGGAGCGGGTCTTCTTCTTTTTCATATCATGCAATGTTTCTACAGTAGCCCAGAACGGACAAACCAAACACTGGCTCTTGATCCGACCTTTTGAGTTTTCCCACTGTACTTTCTTCTATACACTTGGAAGTTGGTTGCAATCTGCAACTTCACCACCAGATGCCACTAAATCCTGCACACTTGTACTTAAAATGTCAATAATAAGCTCAATGTTCACAAATTCCACAATTGCCACAATGCCACAATGTGAGGTGTGAAACAATTGAAAGATATTTTTTTGTTGATGATGATGATGATGAATTTGTTTCATGAAAAAAGGCGAATCATTTGACACATTCGGATCAACAGGGTGGCATTCTATATAGTAAATTGGAGATGTTCCCATTCCAATATAAGAAATGCCTCCGCTACTGACTGCCTAAAATGTGGTTTCGGGTATCGGTGAGAATGCATGTCTGTTCAATGATACCATGTTGTTTATTAGCCTTAAAATGGAACCCTGCTACCTTCCAGCAGTGTCTACTCTGACTCTGACAGAGGGTTTACCCTGAGCCAGGCCATGCAACTGATAAAACAATAATAAAAATAATAATATTACAGTATAAATATCTATTTTATTTCATAATTTTATTTCAGACACATAGGTAGATATTATCATAAAACAACATAATACAATACATGGGCAACTCAATAAACTCATTCAACTCCAAAGGGATTAAAACACATACAGACATTTGTTCCAGTGTTTCCAAAGACAAAGGAGAACCTTGTGTAACTCTGTGTACGCTCGGTTAAGGCTGTTATGACTGCCTTTGTTGACTCAATTAACCGATACATACATTGTGCAAAAAGTTCCTCAGCACATGAAAAGTAGGTACATTATTAGTCACAAACTTATGACTTGTACCTCTGAAGATTCTAAATGAATCATTATTTGCCACCTGAAGCTTTTCCATTTTTTCCTTACTATAATTGCACCACAAGTGGGCAGTATAGAGCAGAGTACAGTCGGCTCTAAAAAGGGCTGTTTTGACTTCGTCTGTATATATGAAATTTGCGTGCCAACATATTGGCTTGTGCATACAATTTGCAATACTGCCGCTGTACATCGTCATCATCACATAAATAATTCCTGATGATGTGACCCAAATAACTCACTTTGTTCACCACATTTAACACATGGTCTGCCATAAAGAATGAAGGAAAACTTTGCTTATGATCCTCCTTGGTCCTGGCAATCATGACATCCCTCTTTTTAGAGTTAAATTTAATGTCATACTGCACACCATAACTTAAGCATACTCTAAGCAGTTGCTGTAAGCCCACACTGTAAGGAGACAGGGCGGCTATATCGTCAGCGTACATCAGATGGTTAATGATACGATCTCCCATCATACATCCAGTCTTACACTCTTTTAGCTTTTTAGAAAGATTGTCCATATACAGATTGAATATATAACTTGTCAAGTTTAATTATCACAATATTAATTTGGTCCATATTGCCCTCCCCTAATTCATCAATTCATCTGTCTACCAGCACATCTTTTGTTGGATCCCCAATTAAACACCACTCAGTCTTCATCCTCTTCCTTCTCCTCATCCTCCTCTCTTTTTATATGCTTGCTCCTGCTTCCTTGTATCTGATCTTTGTTATATTTATACTTTATAATATACTTTGTGTATTTAGTAGGAGTTTGTGTCATAGAAATGAGTAGTATTTTACTACTTGTGTGATTTATGAGTCAGCTATAGTTCTTTCTCTCAGCATAGACATTTCATATTGGTTTTAGCAATTGATTGTTACATGACTGTCCCCCATTCCTCATTTACATTTCACAGTTTTTTCTTTGGCTCAATCTCAGTCTAGCCTCTACTCGCCCTACCCACTATGCCGGCATTTCCACAGTGGCATGGAGGGTTTGCCTTGTTATGGGCTTTATGAATGGTGCTACATTGTGTGGAGTGGAAATAAAACCATCCAGTATAGTCTTCATTTTGTTATGCACATAAATCTATAGCCTTATTTTCACTCACATCACTTTGTCCTAAATATATATTTTTTGTATTTCACCCAGATATACATGCATCAGATAGAAGAAGAATTACCATCATAGCATATGTTGATTGTTTCTTTTGTGCCCTCCACAGCCACAAGTGTGCTTTCACTCCGTAGTGAAAGATAGCTGGTAGCGGTCAGTTTGGGAAAGAGCCTTTTTTTGATCCTGTTGTCATCATCTCTGATTGTTCACTTACTGCTAACTGCTCATGTGATCGGCTCACATGCTGTCCCCCGGTTTCCTATTGGCAGGGAGAGTATGTGTCCTGCCTCCTGTCCCTCCTCCGCCAGATGACAGATATCCACTTCCAGCACCTGATGGAAAACTTTCAGAGCAAGGAAGAGCTCAAGGTACAGGAAACTGTACACACTACAGTCACTGACATCCAGGCTAAGGTTGGGTCACCTGCTGCCTTTGTATTTGGTTATACAAAGAAAGGTCTAACAATGCAATTGTGTGTAGTGTAGTACACAAGACATACTGTAGGTAAATACAACTTACAGAAAAATTCCAAATACATTACATTTTCTTTCCAGTGAGCACTAATCTGGATTTCAAGTTAAACACTGAGTGATATTCTGTTACAAATTTGTTTAATTTAGTCCAAAGTGATAATAGGTTATTATTTGCACATGTGAACGTTCAATAAACATCTTCAAATAGTTGCTGAAACAACTTTCACTTTTGAACCAATTAGGTATTTCTTTTCACCGGTGACCATTGTCATTTTTTGAACATTATAAACTCCTCCTGCTTCATCATCCTCATCTCTCAATTTCTCTCTTCAGGAATTCTTGTTGAAGATTTTGTGTGTGTTCAGAAATCTGATGAAGCTTAGTATTTTCCCCCGCGACTGGAACATCATGAGGCTCCTCACCAGCAAGTAAGACTTAGACACACATCCAACAGTGTTTACGTGCATCACCGACTTAAGCCGGATTGAATAATGCATTACTTATTGTTTGTGTGTGCAGCATCATCTTGACTACAGCTCAGTACCTTTCTCCTGCTCTGCACAAGAACTTCACAGAGGCAGAATTTGACTTTAAGGTACGTGACTTTAACCGACCCACATCACAAAAACCAGTTGAACTGAGGAGGCCTCAGGCTGCAGGCAGTCACACAGCAACTGGAGGAGCAGGACCTGTCAGTGTCTTCAATAATAGTGCAATAATAGTGAAGAACCATTAAATATTGGGGGCTCGAGGTTCTTCATTTGCCAACAGAAGAGTTAAAACAGTGAATCATCATTAATGAGTAGAGCTCTAAAGTTCTGTTTAATATGTACCTTCACACACTATTAATATAAGCTGTGTGCAGAGATTAATGTGTAAAGAAAACACACTGTGAAAGGACACACTCGCTTTCCTTTTGGGGACAAAATGCAAGTTCCAATAACGTAAATACTGTTTTGGGTGAAGATTTGGTTTAAGTTAAAGGTCCAGTGTGTAACATTTAGGAGGTTCTATTGGCAGAAATGGAATATAATATTCATAGGTATGTTTTTTTTAGTGTATAATCACCTTAAAAATATAAGAATAATTGATTC